GAATTGGTCATGCTTACCATCAAATATATGTGACTATAACTAGTTAACTGCCATGATTTAGGTTATTCATGTGACAAAAAGGTAAGAAATGGTGACAGTTCTAATAACTCAACGTAACTGTATGTCACAAATTAGCATTTTTTTTGGACCGCAAAAGAGCACTTTATTGAGAAAGGAAGAGGACTAGTGAGGAGCTAGTTACTAACAGAGTACACGGCATCAACCGGATTACAAAACCATCTCTCCCAACTAAAAGACTTACTAACCATCGCTCTACATCTAATCCAATCATACACAGTGAATTGAATATCGCTACAAACGTCCTTATCAGATTTGCACTTGCCGCTAAACGTTTTAAGGTTCCTTTGAATCCAGATGGTCCAAAAGAAAGCTGCCATAATCACCTTGCCCACCTGTCTTCTGCATCTATCCCCAATCATGCAGATCACCGACCACATGTTTCGAACCGAAGTAGCATTCGCCGGCCACCAATCCACCCAGGACGCCATATGCGTGTTAATAACCTTTGATGTGGAGCAAGTCACGAAGACATGGTCCAAGTTCTCAGCCGTTACCAAGCACGTCGGCCACTCGTTAGAGCTGAGTGCCAAGCCTCGTTTCAGGAGGTTATCCAAGGTCGCTAACCGGTTGTTAAGCGTTCGTCATAAGTGAATATTTGTTTTGCTAGGAATCCACTTAAGTCAATCTATTTCCTGGTCCGTAGAAGGAAGCATAACACAGTCAATCAATCTCCTCAGAGATCTAATTGAGAAGATATTGTTCGATTCCAGCAACTAAGACCACCGATTTCTATCTGGCGCGTCGATCAGAAGACTATTGATATTGATCCCTATATCGCCAAGGTTCTTTTCAGTACTTTTGATATTGCTCCAGACAGTTCTTCTGTCTCTGCTAGCGCCAGACAAGAATTGAGTCAAGTTGCAGTAGCGCACTACCGCGTTCCAGATCGCATGAACCTCTGTACGCTCTCTCCACCACCATTTAGCAAGCATTGCGAGGTTTAGGGTGCGTAAACTCCCAATACCCAACCTGCCACTCTTCTTGTCGCTAAGAACCCGATCCCACACCACCCAACTAATTTTTTTTACATCTTCCGTTCCACCCCAGAAAAAATGGCATCTGATGATTTCAAGAGTACTAATCACCTTCTTAGGAGCTTTGAACATCGAGAAGTAGTAGGTGCCCAAACTGCCCAACACTGATTTACATAGGCATAACCTTCCGCCGATGGACAGATGCCTAGCTTTCCAGACCGAAAGACAAGACTTGAATTTCTCAATGATGGGCTGCCAACTTGCCGAAGACGACATATTACCTCCAACGGGAAGACCCAAGTATAAAAATGGAATCGCTTCCTCCTTGCACTTAAGCCAACGGGCCATTATGGAGATCTCTTCCTTGCTAACCGCGACACCAGTGAGACGACTTTTACTAATGTTGATTTTGAGGCCATAACATACTTCAAAGCATTTAAGGATACTTATCATATTTTTGCATTATCAGCAGCCCACTCCCCTATAAAAATGGCCTCATCCGCATATTGCAGGATTGACACTTCTTCCGAATGGTTCGCCCTATGAACACCTTTAAAAAGCTCCTTCCGATGCGCTTCTCTCATAATGGCATTAAGCCCCTCCACCGAAAGTATGAAAAGAAAATGAGCAAGAGGATCTCCTTGTCTAACGCCTCTGCACATATTGAATTCCTTCGACAGAGAGCCGTTAATAAGGATCGAAACTTTAGGCGTGCGAATACAACCTTTCATCCATGCTCTCCATTTATCACCAAAACCCATCTGCAGGAGAACATCATCAAGATAATTCCAATTATGGGAATCAAAAGATTTAGCAAAATCAACTTTAAAGATAAACATTTTTTTCCTAATCCTCTTGGCCCAAGCTATTATCTTATTAACAATCACCAGACCATCAAGAATACTACGACCCTTGATGAAAGTCGTTTGCGTGTTGCTCACAACTGAACCAATAACACCTTTCAGCCTTTCCACGAGGACTTTTGAGATCACTTTGCTCACACACCCAATTAAATTTATTGGACGATAATCCACGAGAGAAAGAGGATCCCTTGTCTTCGGCACAAGTGAGATAAAGGAGGAATTGCTACCCGGGTTTATTATAGAGTTTCCTTCGAAGAACTTGACAGCCTCAGTAAAATCCTTCCCCAACTTGTTCCAAAAAGAGTGAATGAACTCAAAGGTAAACCCATCCGGACCCGGAGCCTTGTTATTACCGCAGCTCCAAACTGCACTTTTAATCTCTTCTTCCGTGAAAGGAGCTTCAAGCCAATCCTTTTGAGAGTCCGAAATTTTTTTAAAGAACGAGCTGCTAATAGTAGGCCTAGCCGGGAAACGATCCGTGAACTTGTCTTTGAAAAAATCATGTGTTGCTTCCTTGATTTTCTCCGGGCAAGAAATCCAACTACCATTGATATTCAGGCCGTGAATCCGAGAGCATTTACGCCTACTATTTAACAGGCCATGGGAAAAACTCGTGTTCTCGTCTCCAACCGCAATCCACCGGGTTTTGGCCTTTTGTTTAAGATCAATTACTTGATTGGCGACCAATTCATTTAACTGAACCATTAGATTTGCTCTTTCACTCACCATGTTCGAATCAATAAAGCCCGTTTTCGCAAGAAGGTCGATCGCTGAAATTTTCTGCTTAAGGGACTCGCAGTCCGCTTTAACGTCCCTGGAAACTCTTTTCCTCCATTCTTTGTTACACATTTTGAGATGCCGAAGCTTTCTGGATAGCCGCTCTACCCTCGAAAACACCTCGAATTCCGGACAAGGTTTGTCCTAGTAATTATCAACCAAAACAGCCAGCTCTTGGTCCGAAAGCCACGAGTTAAAATATTTGAACGGGAAAGGACCACCTTCGTTACTCCTCGAGTCCAAAATGATAGGACAATGATCTGAAAAACCTCTAGGGAGAGCCATTGAGTTCACCATAGGCCATACGTTAACAAACTCCATGCTTACCAGGAAACGGTCCAACTTGTTTAGCTTAGAGCATTCGCGGTTCATCCAAGTATATCTACGCCCACCAAGATGAATATCTAAAAGACCTGCAGAAGTAATGAAATCGTTAAAGTACCTTGCTCCAATAGGATCAAAAAAGGGATCCCTTCCGCTCATCAGCTGCACGCACTTCATTGAACTCCCCGCATATAACCCAAGCAACACCAGAAAACTTCTTTATCCGTTCCCAGCAAATCTGCCCAAAGAAACTTTTTTATTTTGGTATCTTGCGGCGTGTAGACATTGATCACCCCAAGCTTTACCTTCGAGACAAGCCACGTACGCATAACCACAATAAACCCATCTTTTTTTCTACACACAGGGCCTGAAACAAACCGTCGTTCCAGATCGTAATCAAGCTTGACGAGTTACCAACCGCGTCTATAGCAGCGAACTGAAAATGCTTTCCGCCCCAAACCGAAGCAACCTGCCAATCATGCTGGATAGCCATTTTCGATTCCTGAAGGCAGAGGAAACTAATTTTGTGCTCACGCCCCGCGTTCTTGGCCCAAATCCTTTTCGACTCCTTTCCCATCCCATTCAAATTCCATGAAAGGATTTTTAACATAAATCCACACCCTCCCCATTACCAATTATACTCTCCAAGATATCCAAATTACTTTCCAAATCAATATCGATTTCCTTTCCCACCTTAACCATATTGCTAATTTCATGAATGGGGCTGTCAGCCGAAAGAGGGAGAGATTCAGAGATACTTGGCAAGGAGGCAGCGGCTCTAATACGACGATTAGAGTGTTTGATCATCAAATCAGAGTATGAGGAGTGTTGCCAATTTCGATCGCACATGAAGCTTTTGCCTACCGTACCTCCCGAAGCAGCATCATGTTTGCAGGAGAACCCACGTTTCCTCCGGTAACAGTTGTAAGGGCTTTTTATTTTTTTCATTTTCTTTTTTCGCCTTTTCCTAATCTCCAAAGCATCGATCTTAGATTGAAGAATCCACTCCTCAAGTGGTTCTTCATTCACCTGGTCCGAGCCGTTTCCATTCACATCACTTCCGTCCTCAATGTCGCACGTAGGAGAAACAGAATCAGGGGAGGGATCCACTTGGTTCATAGACTTCTTTGATTTAAGCCCATCCATGGGGGAGGAAATTTGGGAGAGTGAAGGCCCAATACCTGAAATCTCTTTCACTCTAGGCCCAGCACAGGAGACCTTATTCCAAGGGCCCAACAATGAGGGATCTCCTGCCAAAAAAGATCCACCAGCAACATTTAAAGACACCACGTGCGCCGCACCTTTATCCAAGGAGGCAGCCAAATCATGACTTTCCATGGATCCACCCGCATGGTTGTCGACTTCCTGCCTCGAAAATTGATCCATAATTAACTCTTCATTGCCATGCGAGCAAGCTGGTGACTTTTCAACTCCCTGCCAAACCGTCGAGTTCGAATTCGGGACGACATCCACCGACGAATCCAAGATCGGCGCTTCTAAAGAAACAGAAGGCGACGACCCATTTCCGAATTGCCATCCTCGTTGCTACTGAGGAAGCCGGCCTCCAATCCTGCTTCGACAATTTCACCTATCTCTAGACAGTCCCACATTTTTTCAATAACTCTGACCTTGAACTGAGACCTTCCGATGACCACCTTCACAGTGTCCCTTATCCAGTCTGACTTATCTGTCAGAACATCCACGATACCGTGAGTTTTAGAAGACCCAATTCACCATGAAGCTCATAATTTACGACTTCTTCCCATAGACCACTAACTTTAAAGAAGGAATCTGAATTCCAAACCTGAAGCGGCATACCTTGGATTTCAAGTCTAGCAATACGATTCACCAAACGAAACTCCGCATCCCACCTTCTCATGCTTACAAACCAGTCTTGTGAAATATCCACATCTTTTTCACAGAATTCTCGAGCACCGTCAATCGAAGCAAACTCTAGTAACAACGATGGACCCCCCAGGTAGCTAAATCGTATTCCAACCCACCATTCCGTCCTAGACAAAGACCCGATCAGCTTGAGAGCTTCATAACTTTTCAGTTCCCCGATTAGCGCGGATTCTAGTCTAGCTAGGTTATCTGACGAAAGGGACAACTCCAATATCTTCTCGCCCGCATCTTTATCCCCCGTGACCCCCTCGTTCGAAGGCATCCCCAGCCGTCAACCAGACCCACTTACCGCCTCCGCATACGTTTTGGCCCCGCATTGTGACGAACATGTGAAGATGAACGCATGGCCGTAGAACCCAATTGAACTCTTGCTTCCGCCTTAGCTCCATTCTTCCTACTAAAACGAGCGAGGTTAGCCCTAATCTTGAAGGAGCCTAACCACATCTTGTTTAGATTCTCTTTAGTCCGCTTCCAATCCTTGACCTTGATGTATCTCACAAACCCAAACCACTTACTCTGGCCATTCCTCTTCCTGGCGACGTACAAATCTACTATTTCCCCATGATTCTTGAACTCTCTCCATAAGCTTTGCTTCGAGACCATCTTCGGGAAGTTGGTGAAGAAGAAATTTGTTGCTTTACCTCTCAAATTGTCACTCCCCAGAGGAGAGAAACCCTTACTCTGTCCCATTAAATCTTTGCTATTCAACTTTTTGTGACACTCAACACATGAAGCTAACAACTGAGGTGATCGCAGCTAACAACTGAGGTGATCATGTGTGTTATCACTATAAGAATGCACTTAGAAGACTGAGGTGATCGCAACAAAGATCTTGAAATCTTGGAACTTGCTAACTATTCTAAACCCTAAACTTGCTAGCAGAGAAGAATGAGTAGTATATACTTTGTATGTTATGTCACAAATTAGCATTGGTTAATATGACAATTTCGCGGCTATAAGTAGTTTACGGCTACTTCTTGTAGTTATTTCGTGTAACCAAAACTTAAACAA